CTAATTAAAGGAGAAAGACCCTTAACCATAGAGCAATCGAGTCTCTCGATGGTCTAGGATCCGACCAGCGTCCTGTATCCCTCCTTCTTGGCCATCAGCCACCTCCAACTCCAACTTCCAAAACCTGAACCAACTGGAAGGGCTTCAAGAAGTCTCTAGCCTCGGCTATAGACTCTCCGGACTCTCCCATAACACTTTATTCCGACGTCCTCGACAGTACGGGGAAAATAGACACCGCCATCGAAAATCTCACCTCTCTTATAACATCCTCTCTTAAGGAGAATGAAAAGGTTGTCCCGGTTGCTAAAACTAGTCTTCCCCTAGATATTAGCAACCTGCTCAAAGCCAAAAGCTGCCCTCCGTAGAGCTGCACCCTATCCCACTCCCGAGTATAGACTCGCGGCCCACCACCTCCAACGCAAACTCCGTTACCGCCTCAAAGACTTCAGAGACCTCGAAAGGGGCAATCTCATGGAGAAAATCTCCCCCCTCTCACACAGCGTACTACCAGATGGCGAGAGCCCTCCGGATAGACGCTATCACGCATACTCCCCCTCTGTCTCGTCCCGACGGTCTATTGCCTTCGAGGACGAAGAAAAGGCTGAGTGCTTCGCCGACAGCGTCGCCGCTCAATGCTCTCCCAGCTCACAACCTACTGACCTCCTATATATCAAACTAGTGGAGGACGAGCCCCCCCACCTCCTCTAACCCTATCACTGTGTCCAAAGATGTGATTTTATCTACCATCAAAGGACTTAAGTCAAAAAAGCACCGGCTGCGGTTGGCATTTCCAACCAAGCCCTCAAACACTTTCCAGAGCAGGTGATCGCCTTATTGGCCATAATCTTCAACACCTGCTTCGAATTCAGCTATTTTCCCACCTCTTGGAAAGAGTCAACTGTAATTGGCATTCCCAAGCCAGGAAAACTTCACCACCTCCCATCCAATCACCGTCCCATCAGCCTCCTCAAGGCCATGAGCAAACTCGTCGAACGAGTTATTCTCGTGCGCATGAGGCGCCATTTGTTTCCCACAGACGGCGACCCTCTTGTCGTCTCTCAATAATTCGGGTTTCGAGCCAAACACTCGTGCCCTCAGCAAGTTTGCCGCATAGTGGAATATATCCTCAGCGGTTTTTATCCTCGCCGTCAAAAGACCATCGCAGTCTTTTTCGACGTTGCCAAGGCATTAGACAGAGTTTGGCACGAGGGCCTTATCTACAAATTGTACGACTTAGGCCTCTCTGACCGTCTTGTCCGCCTTGTAGCCTCCTATCTGAAGGATCGTACCTTTCGTTTTAGACACGAAGGCACGCTATCCTCTACTCGTCAAATCAAAGCCGGTGTCTCTCAAGGCTCTGTGCTTGCTCCCCTATACTATTCACCAACGACATCCCTATCCCGTCGAATGGTGTTAAACTAGCCCTCTTCGCAGATGACACAGTCCTTTACTCTAAAGGCAACTCACTGCCACAGATTCGGAACAAGATCCAAAAGTCAGTTAACGACTTAGGAGCTTGGTTCCAAAAATGGCGTATCGACGTAAACCCGGAGAAGAGCTCCGCCGTTTGCTTCGAATATAAACGACGCCGTCTCACCGCCACTCCGCCAATCAGGATGTTAGGAACCCCTGTCCCATGGCAAACAAAAGCCAAATATTTAGGCGTCACCCTTGATGTAAGGCTCAATTTCGAGCCGCATATCAATAAGGTAACTCACACCGCGCGATTTTACATGGGTAGGCTCAACAGCATGCTGGGCAGACACAGTAAAATGTCCCTCCGCAACAAGCGAACCCTATATAAGGTCTGCATACGACCTGTCATGACCTACGCGGCCCCCATTTTCGCACATGCTAAGCCCAAAGTTATAAATGAACTTCAAATAGTTCAAAATCTTTTCTGTCGTAGGGCCACTAACTGGCCCTATTATGTCCGTGCCGACCTACACCGAGACTTAGAGCTCCCAACAATCCAGCAGTTCCTTAAATCACTCTCTGAGAGATTATTCAAAGCCTCAGATTCCCACCCAAATCATCTAATTCGTGAGACAGCTGCCTATGCAGCCCCTATCCACACTCGCTATAGTGTGCGCAGACCGAGAAACTCTCTCTCGGACCCCCCCCCCAACAAGCTTTCGGCTGACCTGAACGGCGGCTCAGGCCGAGCCTACATAACACATCCCTTAATCTTCCTTAATTAGGCACACTTCTAAACGGCTTTTCGCCGCTTGCGCCCTCCTTTCTGCCAAGGAGGGTCGCGTCTGTATACGGCTTAGAGATCTCTAGTTAGACCGTTAAGCCAGTCCCTAAAAGGTGGGGTTTAGTGGGTAAAAGTCTCCACATAACCACGCAACCGGCTGCGTGGTATACTATGAGCATTCTCCACCTCCCTCCCCCGCTTTCCGGAGGGTTGCCGATATTTGCTTCGTGCGCAAAAAAAAAAGCGTGCGCGCGTAATCAGCGAGCGGCGGCGGCGTGGGACACATCTCCGGAACAGCAAGAAAAAGCGAAGCTGTGGCGTTGAAGAAACGGCTCGAAATTGGTCGACGGATGCATGAAGATAGCCGGCGTGTGAAGACGATGCGGCGCTGATGATATTTGCGGCTGTTTCTTGTTTCTATATTAGAACTTTAAATATATACGTCAAATTATCTCGCATCGATATGCAGCCCGCAGTATCTCAGTAGCCGGGGATAATTAGGAAATAAATGTTTTCTTCAGACCTTCGCCTTTTGTGTTATGGTAGCAGCAGGGTTATATATTATTTATTGTCGTTTAGGGTTTATTTGCCTGACTGCTACAAATTTTTTATTAACAAAAATTGATTAATTCAATCCTTATGTAATTGTAACAGGTTATCCAGCATTTCTTGCGGTAGCATGTCCCATTCTTGAATAGCGGCTTCCCTGATATCTGTAATTGTACTGACGGTTCCAAACAGCTCGCTTAAGAGCATCTCACACGTGCTCTATTGGGTTTAAGTCAAGCGATCCGGCAGGCCAATCTAACCTTGTGATGTCGTATTCCCGGAAAGCAGCATTGTCTCGTTGAGCTCGATGTGCAGGCGTATTATCATCGACCAATACAAATTGGTGCCCATGGTTTACTCGGAATGGTCTGACAATTCCATAAATAGTGACTGTTTTCTACCTATCTGTCGTCATGGAGCCTTGATACGGGATCAAAGGCGTTCTAACTCAAATCATAATTCCATTCAAAAAGGACACCGATGTCCCGCCATGCTGATCGGTTCCAGTGGCAGTTTTTTGTCTTTCAGAGTTTCGGATCTTCTCCAAATACGGATACGTCGGTTATCTGGATTCGATTTTCAGCAAAGAATGTTACAAATGTTATCCTCCCTATCTTCTTCATTTTGCCGCAGTCTAGCCCACTGCAATCTCTATCGCTTATATTGTGGTAAATTCAGAGGTGCTCGCCAGGACCTCCGTGCAGTCCAGTCTGGTGTAAGCAATTACGAATAGTCGCCATGTTCTGTGTCTGCTTTTATTGTAGTGGCATTGGTTGTTGGGTCACGGTCTGCCAGTAGGTAATCTTATATAGCTTTTCTGAACATCAGTCAGAACAGTTGGGCGACCACTGCGGTCAGTCAGCTAAATTATCCATGCCCTAGTACCTCTGGAACGTGGCCATGACACAAGATTGGGATACAGCAACTTTGCGTGCCTTTTCTATCGTGGAATATCCGTTTTCCCTCAAAATTACAATTCTTGCTCGTACAAATTCTGATAATCCTTTTGACATTTTTTCATTCACAACTTTCCACGAAAAAAAATTTGTAAACCGTTAAAATTTACTAAGTCATATTTTTAAATGAGCATAAGCTTGGATTGAATTTCTTTTTATATGGAGAAACATTTAAACTTTTTATATTTTTTTATCTTCAAATTATATGTTTTATGTAAAGAATCAAAAAAGAAGAAATTCTGATACAGCCTTCCGTAACCAAAAGATTTAAATTTTTAAAACTGATCACAAACTTTTTTGATGTGTATATAATATTTATTTTAAAAATACATTCTTAGCACTCAACGCACAAAATGTTTTAAATAAACCGTAATGAAAACAAATGACTTTTTGTAATAATGTATAGCTTGTAAATCGAAACTTTACTTAAAATGAGACGTGGCCAATTTAGATCCTTACTATTTTCAAACATAAAAGCTTTCGGACTTATCCAACCGGAATCAAAGTTAGATTAGGTTTCAAAAGTCTTGGGAGCTAGAAAGGTGCAAGGCCATGTGTTTTCACATGTTTCGCAGAGCACCGCCATCGCTTTCCTGTAGCCCCGGCAAAATGCGAAGCGATAAACACGGTTTTAACCGGTAGGAGCCTGTCATAACTCATCGTCGTCCCCGCGACAAACATGAGGATTTACCTACGTCCAAAAAAAGGCTTTAAAAGTCTAGTGGCAGTCAATGCAAGCCAGGAATGCCTAAAGCTATAAGATTAGTTTAGGTGTAAGAAAAACTACAACTTATACTTATTTAAAAAACACCAAGTCAGAATGCTTCAAATAATAATTTGTTGCAAATTTATTTTTGTTATTTTAAAATTCAAATATTGGAATATTTTATTGGTTAGTTGGAGTGCAGCCGTGCAGCTTTTGCAATTGATTGCATGAATTGTAATATTAGTTGCCCTACGAACGAGGTCTGTAAGCCAGTCAAACGGAAACTGATTGTAATTGTGTTCATTATTGATAAGCAATTGATGTTCAAATTATACGGAAATACTCCGGAGTGTTATTATTTAAGAACGAAAAAACTCTTTCCGACATTAACATTATAGTTATTGACATTAATTAGAATTTACGTTAATATATTATGTAGTATAATAATTAACTTATAATGTTGCATACGGTTTAACTACCTTGTGATTTAAGCTAATATCATAATTGAATATTTTAAGGCCTAAAACATAGATATATAATACTAAAACATAGATAAAAGATATATTTCTTTCGTTTTCAAAACACTAACCTGGCTCATCATAGGATCAGTGTTGATTTGACACATGTAGGTTCCAGAATCCTTTTGCTCAACGTTGCTAATGTACAGTTTCCAAGTATTGTGACCATTGTGTGTTACGGATAACCGTGGATTCAGTGTCACCATGTGAGTGTGAATTGCTAGGATAGTCTTCGTGTCAGATTTAATCCAGGCCACCTGCGAAACGCTTATGTGAAATAACTAAATTTTTATACAAACATCTACGATTTGGTTATACATATATTGAACAAAATGTGATAAACATAAAAATTTATAATGTGGCTGATAAGATGACAACAATTTTAATTGAAATAATAATAAATTTTTATTTATTTTTGATTTTTGAAATAAAAAGTTACCAAAGAGAAATTCAGGGATGTCATAAAAGAAATTTAGTAAAATAATATGACATAAAGTTCTCATAAACATTAATTATTTTACCTTGTAACTGCCAAGATGATTAACAGTGCATGTAAAATGTACATCTCTTCCTTGAGCAATAGTTATATTCTCCAAGGGTGAAAGAAACTCAGGTTCTTGTTCGCTGTATCCTGATCCTTGAAGCTGACCTGAAATAATATTACTGTATTAAAGGTAATTGTAGAAAGACATTTTACTTTTTTAACTTCCAGCTAATAATGTTGAAAATTTTCAAAAATCGGGAAGTTATTGTTTTACCCCGTTTTTCTAAAATTGAGTTTTCATCAAATCTTGATGTTTTGATGTCACAGGAAGCCACCCTGACAATTTTTCGATGGTGACTGTATGTCTTTATGTATGTGTGTGTATTCGGACCGGTAGATTTTAAGAAATCTTAAAAATAAAAAATTTTTAAAAACTGGTTTTTTTTTTGAATAAATTTTAAACGGCTTTATCGATAAATTCCAAAAACTAATTAGCTTTTAACTACTGACTCGGTCCGGTCAAAATCGGTTGATTCGTTCATGCGATCGTTAACGAAAAATTTTGAATAAATTGGTTTTTTTATATTACTCCGATATTTCATATTCAACGTCATAATTTGATGAAATTTGGAGCACTTTGCATTTTAAATTAACGGGAAGTTACAGTGATGACCTCCAGGGTCAACCAATTTTTATAACATATTGACTAGCCAAAAATGCTAACATGGTCCATGCAATCTACTGATAGTAATTACTTTGAGCAGTAGGGCAACACCTGCAAGCAACTTCGAATATCTCACAGCCTGTGAATTTGATAAGTGGGTCCTAAACTGTAATGTGCCTTACATAAATGAACATGCAATGCCATCAATCATTATATCGCATTTCAGAACAGCCTGCATAACAGTGAGGAGATCTCTAAGCTGTTGTGAAACATAAAAGTATTATAAAACCTTGTTGAGGAATTATTATTTCTGAAAATTTTTAGCTATATTGTTTATTTTTTAATAGAATAAGGGTAACAAATAAGTTCACAATCCACCTGATGGTAAGTGGATACTGTGGCCCTTAAACATCTGAATCTATCCTCGATTACTGAGAGTAAACTGAATTGACTAAGATGGAATGCTTCGTTTCCAGTTAAAAAGGTTACACTCACTATTCGAAATCTAGCAGCATTATGCTGCTATTCCGTGAGATCGTGATTTTTTCGCTGCCAAGCTGACTCATGCATGCAACAATCATAATAAAGCAGCAGCATGGCTCTACCACGTAAACTTCAATGTCAAAGGCAGATTAACTGTTTGTTATCCTAAATATTTTTCTGAGCAGCAATAAACTAAAGAGAAGTAGAATATACGAGTACTACAATTAATTTACTTAAAAATATTTCCTTTGTTTTTTCCATGAACGTTTTACATTTCGATCATTTGTAAAGATGTCCACAATTATGGACAATCTTTACAAATGATCATTGTCTTCTAAAGTATTCAAAGTTACAGTAACGAGATGCTTCAGGGCGAAAATCAAAAGTTGTACATTCGAATCCGCCATCCGACTGTTGAGATGAACCACATTCAGTAAAGGCGTTTGAGCTTATTTATAATATAGTAGTATTACAGTATATTATAGTAGTACAGTAGTGGCAAACTGCAATATTCTTAAAAAAACTTTTACTTGGTAGAGTCATGCTGCAGCTACATTAATTGTATAGCTGTAGCACGAATAGGTCGGCTCAACCGGGGAAGGATCACGCTCTCACAGAATACCAGCGTCAAATAGTAGCTTAATGCGGCTGTGTTTCGTATGGTGAGTGTAGAGAACCGGAGAGACTTTTTACTGTAAAAGAGGCATTTCATCTTAGTTCTCAAGGCTGACAACGCATCTGCATTTTGATTCGCAAACGAGGATAGATGTAGATGTCTATGGGCCACAGCAAACACTTACCATCAGGTGGACTGTGTACTCACTTGTCACCCTTTTCCTATAAAAAAGAGCAAAACTACATATCAGAGCTTTGTTGTCATTAATGTAAATATGTAGCGTAACTTTTTATTCATATGTTATGCATTACTCTCTGATACTAACAAATTTTAACAATATGGCAAGAAAACTTTAGCTCTATAATCATTTGACACACAGGAGATGTGTTGTCAGCAGCTGTAGGAGGGCGGTTAATTATAGTATTTAAAAAAAAATCACTTCCCACTTTATATATAGGGGAGCTACCATAATAAAACACTTTTTTCCAATTTTTATTTTACCACTTTGTCGGCGTGATTGATACAAATATTGGTACCAAATTTCAGCTTTCTAGTGCTAATGGTCACAGAGATTAAGCGAGGACGGACAGACGGACAGACAGACATGGCGAAACTATAAGGGTTCCTAGTTGACTACGGAACCCTAAAAATATGGCACGAAATGGTATACTTTGAAACTTTGTCCACAGAAAAGCTTTACAATTGAATGAATCAGTTTTATTTTCAACGCACCGGAATACAAATAAAAGAACTAGAGACCAAATTGGCCTTTAAAATTGGTTGAAATTGGGTCAGGCTTGCACAAACAAAAGTGATGAAATCGCTGACGCGACTGCAATCTGTTACAATAATTTATTTCAATATATTCAATAATTTTTTTTAACTAAAATGTCTGATTTTTAAAATGAAAGTGTGATTTTTTCATATCACTCTCTTATTTCTATAATTATTTACGATTATTTACATTTAACGATAGTCCATTTTCATTGAATAAAGGACTAATAAATGTTATTTTGTTTCACTATATATATTTTTAATTTATTTAATTTTTTTGTCGTTACCGAGCTGCGGCCGTGGCGCAGTGGCTTAGCTTAGGCCCACACAGAACAAGGGTATGTTACGAAACGTTTTCAGTATACTGCCGAATACAAATGACGTCATCAATTGACACTATATTATACTGGCGTGCCGCTGCCATATTGTGTCGGATATCCAGCCATAATAAAACAATTTTTAATTGTGTGTGCGCTGAATGAAGCAAGCCTGAATTTGTTTCTATTTATTCAAATACAAAAAATTATAGAATAATTGTTGGTATCTCTATTAGGAGGATATAATGATTATTGGAGCACAAAATGACAAAATGATCGCCAACACTTTTCCAATATGGAGCAAATGTATGACGTCATACACTGTCCTATGTTTTGGAACGAATCACCAGTATAGCGTCGATTCATGACGTCATTTGAATTGGACAGTACACTGGGTTCTATTTTGGAACTTACCCCAAGTATCTGTATGGCTTACAAATAATTATTCTAGATATGGATTTTTGTCATTGTACAATGTATGCATGGAAACTGCTTCTAAGATACCCTAGTATGAAAATCCTATCGTATCTCTAAACTGAAAATTCTAATACAATATATTAATCGAACTGTGACGGCTTATGATAATTCACTACCCCATATACTTACTTTGGATATACTACACTTTGGATATCGTAGTAGACGAAAGATGGAAATTGAAGGGCACCGGAATCTTCGTGATAACAACTCAATAGTTATTAAAAAAAACTGCGGTTACGAACTTGCGTACCAGACCGCCAAGCGTGGGAACTATGGCCAATATTTTCCTTAATGACCAATTAAAAAAAGGTTTATGTTTAATAGTGGAATTTTGAATGGCATTAATCAATGAATAATGAATAAACTAAATGAAAGGTTATTCTAAAACTCAAAAAAATTACTTTCAATTAAAATTAATAACCCCGACATTCGAGTGGATATACGTCCTACAGCTGGGCATAGGCCTCCTCTCATTTATGAAAGGGCTTATGGATCTCCATAGAGAGACAAGTCAAAATAGCGCATTCTGTAGCCTAGCGAATCATCACGTTCTACATACATACATAATACATAAACACTCACGTCTGTCACCCAGGAGGGTAGGCATAGACTACGGACTCCTATTTGGCACGATCCTGACATACCTCTATCGCCTCCTTTACATCCATTTATCTACGCATAGAAAACAGAAAAACATGTCTTATTCCGTGTTGTATCTACGCATACCCGCTCGTCGGTTAAAGGTACTCCTAATGTGGCCCATTTTCAAAATATCGCCAATTTGGTTGATAAACCTTCGTCTAGGGCGTCCCTTTCCGACTCTGCCGTTCACATCTGTAGTATAAATTTGCTTTGTTCTTAAGGAAGAAAATGAATTTAAGATGTAGCCAATCTTGTCTGTAATTTCTCTGACATATACCGTAGTATTACGGTAGGTAGGCAGACGCTCGACTGTGGCCGGTTTCACTCGGTCACTGTGCCTTAGGAATAGAAGCTTATTGTCGTGCAATACTTGCTTGACGTGTTGGAGCTCAGCGGGATTTTGTGCTCTATGAAACAAAGATTTTTCAACATCTGCTGGGATTAATTATATTTTTATATATTTACTTGGGCAGCTCCATATCACATTTGGCTGCCGAGCTGCGGTTTATAGGTTTGTTCCCGGATGGAATAATTTCTGTTATTCCTTAGAAATCATTATTTCAGTTCTAAGTTTTTATAAATTATATAATAATATGTTTAATCCTGATTATCATTGCTGAATTATGCTTAATTTAATATTTATATTATTGAAATAATTATGAAATTAAGCATAAATAAATAAATGCTTCAACAATATAGGACAATTTGCTATTGTTAACGGGGGTAAAAAACAATAGAAATCCTTTTTTAAAGAAAAAATACGTTACTAAACGACCATCCGAAGAATTCATTACAAGAAATGAATAAAGGAATATACTTTATTGTACACCACAAACAAATATACAAATAACATATCAAAAGCGGATTATATGTACAAATTGGCGGCCTTATATATATATATATATATATATATATATATATATATATATATATATATATATATTTAATATTATCTACTTAAAGTACGTGACATTCATGTGACTTATTGATTGTTCGCTCGTTGATTTCATTACATTTTATATTCTTCTACTAGCGTTAACGATTGCAAAATGTCAACTTGACTGGCCCCGCAGAACTTCAAAACGGATTTAATGTTGTACTTTAGAAAACCAAAATTAATAGTACCTGCTTTTGTTCTTTGTAGTACTATAGCAAATTTGGACACCTCTTTCCGCACGCATAAATAATATCT